ATTTTTTTAGCTCTTCTTCACTGCATTGGCTTGCATACGTAACATTAAGGCTTGCATTACACAATTCTCATACCCTTCATATAATCGTGAATTGGGCTTTGAATTTCGTGCTGTTCCGAGTTTTCATGAACTCTCGCTAAACTCGGTCGAGGGGGGCGAGCGCCTTTTGCGAGGTCATACCTAACCAAAAATCAATTCGAAATCAGTAGGCGAATAGTTCTTTGCAGAGGACGGAGGTTATGTAGTGAAAAAAGGCGCACTATCACACATCCATGGTCGGGGATTGAATTCCCTGTCGATATTCTCCAAGGCCGATCAAACTCTCCATCCCCCTCACATCCTCTCGGGGTCGGTTACCAGATTGGTCTGAGAGGATAGAGCTTTGACGTGTACATCGTTTGGACACTGCATGCCATTGAATAAGCCCACATATGCGTTCAAAACGTCAATGCGATTCTGAAAGGTAGTTGAATGCACGGGCACATCCCGAAAATGGCCGTCAAAAACTTGATCCTTCAACTTCATTGCTGTTTAAAAGCACAGTTCAATATAATTATGCAGCCAATTCGTATTCGTTGATGTATTTGTTTCTTCTTTGTCATTTCGAACTGTTAAGCTTATTTAACGGATGTCATCTTTTTAGTTTCATCTCAACTCGTATCTTCGTACCAGACTCTCTTAATCGTCTTTTCAGGATCCCTTCACATGTACTGACACTGACGCCTTTTTGTTCTGACACTGACGCTTTTTACACTAGTTCTAGTTATTCATCACTGGAAAGGCAAGTCTACTGATTTTTTGTATTTTACTCAGAGTTTTTTTTATTTCTTCTGGCCTGATAACTGCTACATTGGCGCTATACACTCTTTGCGATGACACATTGCCGACGTTCGACGCATATTAGCTATGCACAGCTTGGGAGACTTAACGGTGATGACGAGCGCTCAAAGAACAAAATGCACACATAGGACAGCGGCAATGTGTCGGTGCTGAATGCAGCCGTCGTTGAATGCTAAATCGTGACGACCATGCTGTCGTACTCTGCTAGTTTGAGTCAGGAACGATTTTCTGTACTGTGCTTTGCTTAAAGATCCCCCTTATATTCCTGTGCCATGCGTAGGGTTCATTGGGAGTACGGGAGTAGTGTCGGGGTGGAATAAGTTTTTCTCGGTGCCTCATTTGAAGGGTAACTTATCACAACAAATGTCTGCCTTGAGCTAGAACCTTCACTTTCCTTTCTAATAACCTCCGTCCTCTGGGCTGCAATAGCTTCGCCGCGTAAAATGCAATATGAGATGAATTAATGCTCCAAAGTGGCTACTATCGCTTTGCTAATTGGGTCATACTGTAAGAACGGTGTTATAATGGTTTCACCGTGCCATCATATCTAAACACTGTATAGCGCTAATCTCGAAAGAACGGGTAGGTTATCTGCGTTGTTCCCAAAGGCTGATAATTCAAGACATCGATTTGTTGCGAGGGATTTATTACGGCAAAGGACACTATAGGCAACTCGTATGATCTTTCGACCAAATTCGTGTTCATAACGTCGATTTAGATGGAAGTCTTTTTCTGAGTGTCCCCATTTTGATTTCACGGAAAGTGATATAGTGTCAGGAATAACTGATGAAATCCGTTTTGTTAATTTCATAGCAGAACCTATTTTGGTTTTCTTTCATTGGGCCGTAAAATCGCAAAGGGATCTCTTTCTGATTCAAACATTGAACGACCCGTGTAAGTGAAGGGAGTGCGTAAGCCTCTGGAATACTTGAGAGCAGTCCGATGATTAGGTATTGAAAAAGACATCAAAGTTTTTACACTTTGAAAATTATAATGATTGACTTGACCGCTGAATAAGATCTACTATAATGGAACTTTAGCCTGCCTCAACAACAGTTCCCAGTTTTACTACGCTTTGTTACAATCTCAAGAAATCCGTCATGAAGAAGTGAGCCCCAAGTGTAGCTTCTGAAAACTTGTTGTCGTACTCTGGTCTAAATGATTTTTTGTCAGCCTAGCCTTTTTTGCACTAACAATAAGATCTCTATGGAATGAGCATGGGCGATTGTGTTACTGGGAACAGGAATGTGATTGCGGCTAATCCTATTGGAGAACAGAAACTGGTATTTGGTTAGTTATATTGGGTAGAATGAAATGAATACTGGTTTACCATGTAGCAATGAATCACTCTCTTCAGAGCAAGGAAAAGGGAAGCCAAGAAGTTACCTGCTCAGTCTCTATTTTACCTTCATAGCTCATGTATAGCGTGGAAAACTACTTGCGCTGCTTTAAAGGAAACTGTAGGCTAAATTTTAAGGTACTGCTTGCTCTTAATAGTAGCATTAATGTGGTTCGACCATGTTCAGCTACAAGACCGGCTGTCCGGTGAATTTCGTGGGATTTTGTTGTTTTTTCCTTATTTGCACAAATTTTTTTGTATAGACATATCACTTAATCCAGTTTCTCAAAAAAAAAAAATATGGGAGCATTTTTAAATTCTCCATAATAGAACACCACTATGGTTCCTAACAAGAATTCTTGTACCTCCCCCTCCTCCCCCCCGCCCCGACCCNCTCGCTCTTGTACCAAAGGATATTTATCAAGAAATGTCGCCCGTTTAACGCAAGCGCCTATAAGGTTCTCAGTGCAATATCGCTATATGCCACGAGGTCTACATTTGTCCGGAGGCGATAAGGCTCACATTTGCTTCCAGCGAGCACATGGTAGGAGTAACTGTCAAATCGCTCATTAACTGCGGCATTCGTCGAGACTTATCGATCAGTGTAAATGCGCCTCAGGAACTCACGTTCAGAAAAGGGAAGTGGTGGGCCGAAGAAGTGATCACTGCACCGAAGGAATATGTTATTAGGTGGCTCATCATTAATTCGGCAATCAGCATAAATCAAGTAGTCGCTGTAGTGGCTCCGTTCTTCAAAATAACCGTGTGGAGGGCAATCAAGCGAAATATAACGTTCAATCCCATTTCCGTCCCCTGCCTCTGCTTCCTGAGCTCTAAGCATTTGATTTATCTTGATGAGATCTCTCCAGGAATATCACGCCCATTGGATTCATTGGCAGCATTCCGGTTGGAATTCTTATCGCATAAAATATCACCTTTTACAAGTTAGTTGCCATAATGTTCTACCGAATTGTTACTGAATCTTTTTGTAGAGGTCAGTAAGTCGAGGCACGGGATGAGGGCGAGATTGAACAATGCGACTTTTCCGCTTGATTGCCTTCCATACCATCATTTTGGATAGTGGAGCCAGAATAGTGGCTCCGACTTGATTGATGCAGAATGCCAAGTTGAAGATGGGTCGTCTAAAGGCTCTTTCTTCTTGTGCAGTGATCTCCCTTTGGACCACCAGACCTCTTCTCCGGTCGTGAGGATAAGATCGCAGGTACACAACTAGACGAATTTCGACGAACGCCGCAGTTATTCATGTGCAGGGTCGGAACCTGAGGTTGCTTGCTTGCTTGCTTGCCCCATGCAAATCTGGACTACCTGGCATGTTCCAATATCGTACGGAAAACTTATAGCTACTTATCGCCTCTGTAAAACTGCAACTTTTTCCTAAATAAGGCTAACAATAAGCTTAACCGAAGGTAAACAAACAGAGCTTCTTGGATGTCAGTGATATGGTGAAGTTAGAACCGTATTTTCGCCTTCTTTCAAGTAGTTTATCAGGCACAAATTCTATTTTCCTTGGGAACCAGTCGCACATCAGAGACATCATCAGAGGCCTACTTTCATGGGATGTGCGGAAACTCATGTTCTGCATTCTCATACTAATTGATAAGGCGCGCTAGTTGCGCGTACTGGGACTCGCAAGTGTAATTGTTGGCGCAAAATTGCTACCATGACAAAATGGGGTATTTGTTTTTCTATCGTTGATCTTAAGATAGGGAGAAAAGGGATCACCGTAGGCACTCCCAACGCATATGAGCAGCAGCCACATTTTCACAAAATTACCGTGAAATTCTTCTGACTGCTTCTTTTCAAGAAGAGCTGTTCGCTTAAAAAATGCGCTGATGGACTGCGACAAGTTTCTATTTTCAGCGAAGGCGTATGGGTTCGAGTAGCGGTTTGATCGTTGCCGGGATTGCCGGTGCGACAGCCATTGGCATCTCGTTCGCGGCAATACCGTTCCTCACCCCTGCGCTGCGACGCGTCTGCATTCCCTACGTACCCGCTACCCCGCCACAACTCAAAAACGTTTCTCGCGCACTTGCCGAATGTATTCCGAAGCCAAGCCCACTCATTGACCTAGGATCTGGCGATGGACGTGTAGTGAGTTCAGTTATTCCTCTCAGTTTTATTTCTTTCAGATGAAATTTGGCGAACAATTGGCGAGCCACTTGACACCGGAATGGCGAAAGCAATACATCGATTACGAAGCGCTCAAGAATCTTCTCTACGACAACATGTTGGAAGTGCCGTCGGAGGAAGACCGTAGAGAGGAGCACATTGCTCAAATGGATGAGAAGTTTTTCAATGAGTGTGAAAATGAGCTGACTAAGATCAACCTGTTTTTCTCGCAAAAGATAGCAGAGGCCCAGGGCAAGTATCACGAACTGCAGACTGATCTGCAAATGTTCAAGGAGGCGATTCAGACGCGGACTGAGCCTACCACTCTGAGGAGGAGGTTCGGAGCACGTGACAAACTTCACAAGGAAACAGCGAAAACCAGCCAGCAGTTGAAACTCGCCTTCTCGGAGTTCTACCTCAGTCTGGTCCTGGTCCAGAATTTCCAGCAACTGAATGCCACCGGGTTTCGAAAGATTCTCAAGAAGCATGACAAGCTGACTGGGAATGAGCGTGGATTGGACTGGCGAATTAACAAGGTTGAAAAGAGTTCGTTCTTCCTCAATCGTGAGATCGAAACACTCATCAACAATGTCGAGACATCTGTGATTAACGAGCTCGAAGGCGGCAATCGTCAAGCAGGAATGAAACGTCTCAAGGTCCCTCCGCTCTCTGAGAAACAAAGGCCGATCACAACATTTTCTCTTGGTCTTTTCATGGGGGCCAGCATAATTCTGATCTTATCGATCTTTCTCTCCTGGTGGGGTGCTGCAGTTCGTCCTAATGAACCTCAATGGGTGGCAGTGCGACTTTTCCGTGGGCCGTTCCTGCTGTTTCTTTCGGTCTTCATGTGTGGAGTAAACATGGCTGGTTGGGCTGGTGCTGGTGTAAACCATGTTCTGATTTTCGAAGTGGATCCTCGACACCATCTTTCGTACCAAACGCTCATGCAAATCGCGGCTTTCATGATCATGTTGTGGGCCTGTGCCGTGCTCGCCTATCTTTACGCCCATCTTCTACACATACCTGCATTTTCTCCTCCTTTAGTACTAATGATTATCTGTGCAGTGGTACTGTTTAACCCATTTTCCAAACCAGACTACCTTTTTCACAAAAAGTCAAGGTGGTGGCTCATTCAGCACTGTTTCAAATGCTTCACCGCTCCCTTACATTTCGTCACATTCACGGATTTCTGGCTCGGTGATCAGATGAATTCGCTGACGACATCATTTCTTGACTTCCAGTATTTTCTATGTTTCTATTCCACCGAAGTGGACTACTCACCTGATAATTTTATGGCTGTGCGAACGATAAACTCGACGACAGGAGCTGTACCATGGGGTTACGTCGACATTACCACAGGC